CGAGATCACGCCAACATCAAGTGGGGCGATGCTGGTGCTGAGTATGTTGTGGAGTCCACTGGTGTCTTCACAACCTTGGAGAAGGCTGGGGCTCACTTGAAGGGTGGTGCCAAACGGGTAATCATCTCTTCTCCTTCTGCTGATGCCCCCATGTTTGTGATGGGTGTGAACCATGAAAAGTATGACAACTCTCTCAAGATTATCAGCAATGCCTCCTGCACCAACAACTGCTTGGCTCCCCTGGCCAAGGTCATCCAGGACAACTTCGGCATTGTAGAGGGACTCATGACCACAGTCCATGCCATCACTGCCACCCAGAAAACTGTGGATGGCCCCTCTGAAAAGCTGTGGCGTGATGGCCATGAAGCTGCCCAGAACATCATCCCTGCATCTACTGGTGCTGCCAAGGCCGTGGGCACTGTCATCCCTGAACTGAATGGGAAACTTACCGGCATGGCTTTCTGTGTCCCCACCCTCAATGTGTCAGTTGTGGACCTGACTTGCCGTCTGGAGAAAGCTGCCAAATAGGATGACATCAAGAAAGTAATAAAGCAGGCATCAGAAGGCCCCCTCAGGGGCATCCTGGGATACACTGAAGACCAGGTTGTCTCCTGTGACTTTAATAGTGACACCCACTCTTCCACTTTTGATGCTGGGGCACTGCCCTGAACTACCACTTTGTCAAACTCATTTCCTGGTATGACAATGAATTTGGCTACCCCGACCAGGTGGTCGACCTGATGGTTCACATGGCCTCCAAAGAATAAGATCCCCTTGGACCACCAGCCCCAGCAATAGCACTAGAAGAGAGAGAGACCTTCAGCTGCTGGGGAGTCCTTGCCCCAACTTCATCCTCCCACACACTGAAAACCTCACTTCCTTGACACAAGTTTACATCAAATCCCCCTGAGAAAGGGGAGGGGCTTGGCGAGCCCATCTTGTCATGTACCATCAATAAAGTACACCGTACTCAGCAAAAAAACCCAAAACAAAACAAAAAACCAAAACCAAAACAAACAAACAAACAAACCAACCAACCAGGAAGAGCCTCAATGAAATGGACTTAGGCCCAGCAGAGATGCTGAGGATGGTGCAGGCTCAGGGAGGGGTCTGTGGTACACCAGCTTGTCATGAATGACGTGATGACACCAACAACAACCACTTGCAAGGTCTTAGTCTATTTCTGTTGTGTATGGGAAAACTCACTTATTATTTTAAGTAAGCATATGTGCTTGCCTGTAAATACTGATATTTAAAATTTTAAGTTTTAGAGTTCCTGCTCGAAAGTGAAGGATTTCTGGTGATGCAATGAGTGACTGCCTGACTATTAATTGAAAGGTTGGTCATTCAAACGTACCAATGGTTCTGAGGGAGAAAGGCATCACAATGTACTCCCGTAAAGACGACTGGAGAACAAATCCCATTTGCTGTTGTTGTTGTCATGTATCATCAGGTCGGAAACCACTCACAGTTGACCCTCCAAGGGGTTTTCAGAGGTAATTAATCCCCTCGGAGATGTTCGTCCACCTTTTCTCTCAAACAAACCCGACAAGGTGGTTCTATTCAGTTTTATGGGGTCACTATGAGTTTTAATTCATTCATTGTAGTATTTTGCTTTGTCATTCCGAGCAGCCTTTTGGAATCTTCTGTTCAGCTCTTTAGTATCTTGAATTCTTCCTTGTGCTTTGGCTTCTCTA